CCTATCTGGAGATATGCGTCAGACAAGTCCACTTTGGCAAAACACTTGCCACCGTTCAGGTGTGCATAAAGGTATCCGGAAAGGGGTATAGGGTACTTGTGCTCTTCTAACGCAGCATTCAGTCTTGTGGAATAGTCTGCACATATGCGAATCTTTCCGTTTGGTTTCTTGACAACCACAGTGCGAGTTGGTCGGTTTGTTAACTCCAGCTGACTGTAACCTGTCAACTTGGTCGACCAGTAGCCTAGTGGTAACAAAGTTGTCCCATATTCTTGCGACGCGGGGTTCGTAGAGCAGGGCGACCCTTGCAGTATCCTTAGCCCTCCTGCGGCCGTTAGTGCTTGCCCAGCAACGAAGCGTCGGTACTTCCTACTGGCATACTGCTGATGCCTATCTTTGGTCGACGATTGAAACCACTGCATATGGAAGCGGCCGCTTTGGTCGGACGACTGGCTTCGCTTCTAGCTGCTCGGATAAACTGGCCTTCGTCTTCGTGCCAATCCCAGACCATCCTTAAACACCTACGGATATTTCCTCTGTGAAGACACCGTTCAATTCACAGCTGAGTCGCTTACTTTGCTGCACACGGAATTCAAAGGAACATCAAGCATTTTCGTATTGTCAATCTGTTCGAGACCGACTAATTTCAAATCAGGATGTCTAGTTACGTAGCAGAGCCCTACGAACTGGCAACCTCTGAACATTACTGGGCCGTATATTACACCAGCCAAGTTCAGCGGTTCTCTTGAAGCATTCGTTGCAATCCGATTTGTTCTTTGAACAGCTGGTTCACCGACTTTTTCCACGTTTTCTCTGATATGGTCGTGATATCTGGGGCATGTCAACTTAGAGGCATACGGGCACTAAGTTCACAACTACCGTAGCGAACCTTTTGCATATTGCGGCTCCTGTATCGAAGGTAGGCAAACAGATAAAGCTGAGGTCCTTATTTTGTTAGAGATGTGGATGCAAACATTTTGAAAAATTTGATGGTGATGTTATTGTTGAAAGCAACTGCACGACACTGATCCTGATTGTGACCCCGTTTGTTGAACGGTGAGAATTTGACTGTGCCATTCCTCACATTGCAAGCATGCAGATGGCTGTCGCTGAAATACCGTGCTGATTCAACAGCGCCAACACATCTACGGGACATTGACTGCGGCCTTGGGCTATCAGATTCGTGCCGTGCTTCAAGTTAATTAACCAATGATATTCGGTGGTGACGCACGGGTCCTGCTCGGTTTTGCTGAGTAGCATTATGCGTATTTCGGCATCCTCTGGCGCTTGGAGACCACAAACATAAATAATGGCCTTGTTCTAATCGTCACTTCTTTTAGCTTGCAACGCTCGCAATGACGGTTGACAGCACTCGCGTAAGTTCCAAAATCGTCTGATACGTACTTAACAAGTTTCATTGTTGTATCGGCCACTGAATAAGAAAGACCGTTCGCCAAAAATGTAATTTAACAGAGGTACAGTTTGGTCTAAAGTGGAATCTTTAGGGAATATTGGCGGGATAAGACTGAGAAATTTGTCGTGCTCCTTGGTTCCCAGCTTTCACAAAATCATTCCGCACCTCCATTCGTTGTCAGTATCCACGAATACGGACCAGAAAACGTCTTCGTATCTTCTAAACCAAGATTTGAAGCTTAGGCCGGCATCCGGGTCATGTTGAAACTTACAACTGTTGTTAGCGACCGTGTCCACAGACGACTGCTGCTTTTCAGTGTTGACCTTGCTTGTACCGAAAGACGTCTGAAAATTTTCTTGATTAATCGTGTCTAGTTTTTCAACTTTCTTCCGTTGATGTTGGGCGACCAACATGGTGTATGCTCCCGTAATGATAACAGTGAGCGGTTACTTCCTTTGGGTGAAGATACCCGCTTATTTCTTGCGAGCACTACTTTCTGACACAGCACCCGCCTGAGGGCGACTTAGCGCCCACCAGCTTCGAATCAGCTATGGACGCAAATCGATCAAACTGCGATAAGTTATAGATGGAGAGGCTGCTGTCGCTCGGTTTGGAGCACAGGTGCGGACACCGACCATGCACTTGTGTGCGCTGACCTGCGGATGCGCTTTGGCAGATGCCCACGACGACGTTGTGAGCGCATTGACACCGGCCAACTGGCGAAGCCAGCTGTTCTGAATGCCTATCAAAGTACGCTGTCATGCGATTTGAGTAAGCGCTCACTGGATGCAGTTGAAGTTCACTGGTCTCATATTCACCACTCCATACTAGCAGCAGGATGATCCTCATGTGGTAAGTCTAATCGCCAACATCGACATTGGGTCTGTTCGCAGTCTCTAGAACTTATCGACGCTCGCCGACATATCCTGGCTGGAAGCGAACACAATGAAACTCGCAAAGAGCTCCGGGCAAGACTCCGTGCTAGCCTGAAGAGAGACCGCGAATCCTGGTGGTCTCATGGTGCATCAGAGATGGGAATGGCCAATGCCGTTGGTAAACATCGTAAGTTATTCCGGCTGATAAAGGAAACGGGCAGCCGAAGATCTGGTGTTAGTGAAACTATACTTGACGTGAGTGGACAGCTTATCCACAACTTATCAAAACGCTTGGAGCGTTGGGCTGAACACTTTGAAAAGCAATTTAGTCGGTCGAAATTGTTCGACTACTCGCCGGCCACTGATCGCCTCGATCCCTGGGCTGTCCCTTTGGATCCACCCTCTCGCTCAGAAGTCGAACGTGAGATCGCAGTGTTGAAGTTAAATAAATCCGCGGGACCAGATGGTCTTCCTTCAGCCCTTTTCAAATTCGGGGGACCTGCTCTTATGGATGATTTATACGAGTTACTAGTGAACCTGTGGGAGCAGGAAACTGTCCCAACCGACCTTAGCCGCTCCATCATAGTCCCAGTTTTCAAGGGAGGCCCACGATCGGAATGCGGCAACCATATAGGAATCAATCTGATCCCATCGCCTCCGAATTGCTTGCCTCTGTCATCCTTCACAGACTGACAGCCACTTGTGAAAGCTATATTCTTAAAGGATAAGCCGGGTTTCGTCGAGGTCGTGGCTTCAATGACCACGTCTTCACTTTGCGTCAGTTGTTGGAGCACCGTCACACATATTAGCTGCCCACCGTTGTCGTGTTCCTCGATATCAAAGCTGCATTCGATTGTGTAGATAGACGTGCACTTTGGGACTGTTTACTCAGAAAAGGTGTACCTGAGAAATATGTGAATATTATCCGAGAATTGTATGCGCGTAGCACGGGCAGATTGAGGGCTTACGACAAGTTGTCGTCGCCCTTTAATATCTCCAGCGGTGTGAGACAATCATGCCCTGCTGTCACCTTTCCTCTTCAACTTTGCTATTGACGAAGTCATGGAAATCGCGTTCGCAGGACACGACTTATAAGGTGTGGATCTGCTCCAAGGAGAACGACTTCTTGACTTATAGTATGTTGGTGACATTGCCCTAATCTGTGACAGCTCCCAGACGTGTCAAGCGGCACTGGACAGGTTAACACTGGCTGTCCGTCACTTCGGGCTTTGCTTTGCACCATCGAAGTGCGAAGGGTTCCTCCAAGATTGGTCTAGGCCGCCTCCTTCGCTGACCCTTGGTGTGGATCAGCTAGAAGTCGTTCAAAAATTCAACTACCTGGGAAGTTTTATCAGCGCCCGTGGGATTAAAGATGAGATCACGAACCGTATAGCAAAAGCTGGAGGCGCTTTTGCTAACCTTCGCCATTTATGACGCCGGCGCGTCGTCACTCTCGCCCTGAAGGGTAGAGTGTAAAATGCAGCGGTACGTTTGACCCTACTGTACAGTTGTGAAACCTGGCCCCGTTAGATCAGCGAACATAAAGACGCCAGTTACGTTCGACCACCGGTGCCTTCGTAATTTAGCTCACATCTGGTGGGAACATCGCGTGAGCACCGAGCGTGTTTGACGCCATGTTTAAGGCACAAGAAAAAGGGACTGAACCACTCTGCACAGTCATATGACGCACCAGGCTCCGATGGCTCGGCATGCGCATGCCAGCCAACCGACTCCCGCCACGTGCGTGGTTTGCGCACCGGGGGTGTGGATGGAAGAAAAGAGAGGTGGCCGAGCGAAGACTTGGTCGAAATGAATGAAGGCCCTCATTCAGGATCTGGTCTCAGTTGGAGCGTCTCGGCTTCCTGGTTGGGGTCCGAAGGACGATGAACACGTTTGGCTGGATACACTTGTTCCTAGAAGCTGACCTTAGTGGCGTTCGTGCTGTTAGTTTCTTTTTCACGCCTCCTCTAACCACCATCTGGTTATTTAGCATTTCATAATTTTGCATAGTGAATTATTTTTTCTGCTGACTAGTAGCTGGCTTGTAGCTTACCGGAACGATGCCCATCCGTTACCGGTAGCTCAGCTGGCTTGCACCTGGTGCATTTTATGTATTGCGGCACATTAGCTGTGTTTCCCACCTCTAGATAATTTGTATAATGATGATGATGTCTGTTTATATTAAATATTGCGAAAAGCTCCTGCACAGGAAACGGCATTTTCGAGTTCTCTAATCGAAAATTCCCCGTCGCAAGATGTTATGGTTACCAATGTCACGCCGGGCCACTATGATTGGCTTTCGAGAAAAACACGTCCGCCCCAACCGGCCTATCAAAAAGGCAAGGTCGTACTTCCGGTTAGTTGGTCACCAGGCACGAGACAATTACACAGCCCAGAGTACCGATATTTATTTATTCTTCGCGACCCTCCTGAACATTCTCTGTTCTCTTCTATTCTTTACTTATCCATAGTGGTGTTCGATTGTGGGAGAACATTCTTTTGATCAACCATTGCGATTATTCTACTTGATTTCTGGAAGAATGCAGGAGTTTTATCCATTTTCCGTTCATCGATTCATTCGGTTGTAGGTGATCCTCTTAATAAACTTATCTTGGTGTTATTGTGAAACCACCAGCAGACAGCTGGAGCGCAAGCATGCTTTCTTTGATTTTTTCAATTTAAAAATCGGTCTGATTTTCATCTATTCTCAGGTACGACAGGAGCTTCTCGATGAATTCGAAGTCGTAAAGGAAGTCCATCTTACCTTATCAAGCTTTAAGTCCTCTAACGACTCCAATTTTGTGTCCAGTGCACACTGTGGCCGAAGCAGCTCTCAGGAGGAACCTACACGTGACCCAGATGTGTGGCCTCCGCCTCCTCCATTGGATCGGAGACCGGGTTATTCCGTACAGTGCTATGCCGACCTTGGTTCATTGAACAGCGGTTTCCAACCCCCTATCTACCGATCCTCCAATCCAACTGGTGCCTCTCAGCCGGCAGGCACAGCGGCCAAAACTTCTACAACTACCGCTCGCCGGAATCCAAAAGACACTCAATGCAAAGGCTCCACGACTGCTCGGGGTAAAAGTGCAACTTCTGCTTCCGGTAAGAAACCTTCAACATTTAATGAGCAGAAAATATTTTGGTGATAGGGTTTACGTTTGTGGCCCAATTTCATCAACCAAAAACTTACATGTTATGCACGGTAATATACGGTGTTGAATTACAAACATGATTAAATTCCTATTAAGCACCCGAAAGTTAGATGACTATGGATCATTCGTGAAGCCAGATGTTACCGAAAGTTCGTAGATGTTCACTATCCCGGAATATGGTTGGAACCGATTGTTAGTTTATAATTTCTTAAGGTTTTGAACACAAATCGGTTTTTTATGGGTTTGTGTTGCAGCGAAAACCAATTAAATAAATAAATGGTCTATTCTGGACAGTGCGAGACGCCTTCAAAGGCATGATCATGTTAATCCAGTAATGTTACAACTTAACCAATACACGATAGCCAGCTGTTTGTGACGGTATGCTGTCTACACAAGGTGCAGGCGCCTTGACCATGCATGTTTGCTTAGGGCATTAAAGTTTTCTGGTAAGTCCCCCTACTCTCCCTCTTATTATCCATTATTTCATAGGTCATCATGATTGTATGGCAGCGAAGCATCAGCTGATGTACTACGGTTGTTGATGATTGATGATTGAACCAGTGTATACTGGATGTGTGTATCTCTGTGTAGTATGTAAGTGTGTGCATATGTAACTCATCATGTTGAGTGAATTTGTTGCTACTATTGGGCATTTGTGAGTTTGTTCGATCTATTCGCCAATCTAGGAAGGGATCAGCTGAAATCCTCGAGGTGCTTGACGATCGCGATATGGGAAAAATCCTCCGGTATGACAAATTGCAGTGACTACATTTACTTTCGAGTCATATCCGCAGCTGCTGTGCACACGTCTACATAAGTCAAAGAGAGTTACACACAAGGATACCAGAGCACACATTTCGCGTCCACCGATAAAAGAGGCTGAATACAAGGCCCTGCTATCGGATCCATCGGTTGCCCTACAAGTGCTATAGGTGGGGCGCAAAATCAAATGGAACAATGTCGAGCACATTAGGAGTGGAACACGAGCAACTGGTCAACTGTTAATTACTAAGGCGATGGAAATCAGCAAAGTTAAAGTCTATGTGAACAGGATAGATGGGATGTAGCTGACAAACGTGTGACCTGCCGTCTTAACCATTTCCGTTTTTCAAAGCATCCTTGGAAGGAGTTAGATCGGGTCGTGAATCATCAGCAACACTGATAGGGAATACCTTAACTTTGAATGACTTTTGATCCGGATCAGTTCGAAACGTCTGATGTTGGTAGTTACATTAGAATGACCTTTTGATCCGTTGACTCATATCGTTTCCTGCAAATTCATCCTACTTTGTCATATGAGCCAAGCCAATCATGTACCGATTTATCTGGCCTGAAGAAACTTGCGTCAAGTGCGAAACGTAGCTACACTGCAAGCATACACAAAACCGATTTGCATCTTAAATCTTCTGAAATATAAGTGCACCTTCGATAATAGAAAATATCACATAAGATGGTTTGCAATATATGTGTAAATATGTAAGCGTTAAAGCACTCCTAAAGCTGAGCAAAGCGTTTCCACCGTTGTTAAATCAATAGACGAGGCTGGAATTGGTTAACGGTACAGTTTATATGCAACTAGCAATACCAGAAACCACGAACCTCAACAATTTGCGTTTCAAACCACATTTCCTATCAATAGGTTGTTGTTCGTTCCAAACATCCTGGAAGTATGGCCTCAGAATAAAACATGTGCATATTAATGGTGTCTTAATACGCGGCTTTGTATATGGCCTGTGTATCAATGGAGCTGATCAACCGAAATTGCGGTATATGGGTGTGATGAAAACGGGACCACATTGGAAGGTACGGGTGAATGTTCTTCGTGCGTCATCACCAGCATCAATCTTACGATGATATTAGGTCGTTGATAGTACGGTCTCATATGCAACAACCATGTGTTGGCTTACACTAGTGATCAAACATTCTAAGGTCATTAATAATACGATATGCAGTGTCAAGTGTGAAATGCATCACAACGTCTCGTCTTTCATAAGCTTTGTCAAGCAAATTCGGGTGCAGTCGGCGCGCCGTGGTTTGACGAAATCTGCTTTAGACCGGCGGAACTCCACTTTTGGTTTCACATATTTCGGGGTTCGCTTATGCAGCTCTAATTTTCGCCATATAGGAACCAGCGCCAGGACTCACACAATTATGACACCTGGTCAACCGTCAAGATAGATAAATTGATGATTTCGGGAAGCGTATCAGCTTCTTACTTTTGTAGGAGCTTTTTCACCCTTCTTTATGCAAGTTTTTCAGCTATTTGCCTTCGCTCAGGTTATATCTGAGCCATCACAGATACACTTAGTCAGGAGAAGTCCTATCTTCTAATACACGAGACTCCTTTCTTTTGCGACAATGATTAAGACCACCGGGACACAAAGAATGACAGTACCCTCCACGGCTACGTAGTCATGTCTGATACTGTTGCAGACCATCCTCCATTGCTGTGTGCGTTTCAAACACAATAGTTTCTATACAGAAGTATTGGCTGGACTTCATGCACTAGGCTTCCGTCACTGAGCCTTCCACCACCTAACACTGTTCTATGCTCTTATGAACAGCGTCCCATGATTTCCTGCTGCAGCATCTCACTATTTCTAGTATGTCCTTGAACCTTCATTATGTGCCGCAGCTGCGCCAAGATGGGCGAAAACTCGAGGTGGCCCGTCGATGATGTGGCATGAAAGCATGCCGAAACTTCCGAGTGACTTGTTCAGGCTGGTGCATGCCTCTTCATGGGTATGAACCCCGGAATGTTCCACATCAATGATTGGAGACTCTGTCAGACATGGCGCAGTCGCACAGTCAGTGGGGTTCTTGCACTCAGTTTCTTGCATCTAGCAGTTCATTTTCCCTTCAAATTACTTTGGCACACCTCTTCCCTGGTTCTATTTTTTGCATTCTATTTGAGTTCAACTTCATTTTCTTATCCTTCTATTTTGCTACTCTGTTGACGTGAGTCATGGCAACTGGATCCACCGCGTTTCGATACCCGGACCATATAGTTGTTCTACTCAACTGAACTTACTGTGGCCTACTTCAGCAAGACCTCAACCGCCTATCCACATGGTCTGCAGAAGTTCTTCTCCCGATCAACCCAGCCAAGTCTGTAGTTATGAGCTTGAGGAAGGATGCGGACGGCCGAACCTACACCCTTGACGGCCAACCGTTATATCCCACACCCTCCGTGAAGGACCTAAGTGTAATCCCGCGCTACGATTTGAAGTCCGTGGACAACACGAACAGGCTATATCGTAACGGACGGCACATGCTTTGGGCGCTCAAACGTAGCTTCGGCACATGGTCTGGAGAGGTTGCCACTGGCCTCTTCTCTTCCATCATTAGACCAATGCTAGCGTACGGTTTGTTCGCCTACTTTCCGATTACCCGAGGCGAGGCACAAAAGCTCGAATGGGTCCAACACGTTCCTACCAGGCTCATCCCGAGTTTACGTGGCTTGGGGTATGAAGACCGGTACGAGAAACTAGGACTCTACACCTTGTCCTACCGTCGGGTGCGAGTCGACCTCAGTATGACCTACCGTATTCTACATCTCAGTGACTTATCAATGATAAGGCCAACGTTGCACTTACGAGGGCCATGCAGCACACGCGGACACAGATACAAACTTGTCGTGCCGGATGTGAAACGTGTTCCCCACTCACTGTGCTTCGAACGGAGAGTGATAAATATTTGGAACAGTTTACCGGAACATGTGATGGAAGCGACATCTGTGCAGCAGTTCAAACCGTTGTTAGCTGTATATTTTACCACTATTCGCTTCAGAGAACGATTGCACACTTACGATGACATATCACATTATTGACTCCTGCAATGTCGTGAGTCAGTTATTTTAAATGTTACATGAGAATGAGAACGGTATTCACGGCTGGCAATTTTTATAACGGTTTTCACCATACTCTGAAAGAGTTGTACATAATTCATTTCTACTTACTCTATAATACACTATTCAGTACTCAGTGAGCTGCCTTACCGGGTTACTACCTTCTGGACATATCCATTAATATGAAAAGCACGGTAAGAAGACGAAAACTGGTAGATGCATGCATTTCGTATTGTCTCCTCAGTACCATTAACAATAACCGGTATGCAACTATATACTTAAATATGTGTGTGACCGAATAAGCATAAGGTGAAAAATGAATGACGGAAGTTCCACACCTATGTCCACGGCAGTCTTAAGCTGATAAATAATTGCTTTTGAACACACAGGGCCGGCTTCGTCCGGCTTATCGCAACCGCCTCGGCGAAACGGAGGAAGCGGGGATTAGGGTGACGTAATACAAGTGTGAACGCTGATCCGAGCTCTATCCGGTGACGCGTAGTCAGTAGGTGTTTACCTATTGAGGAAGCTGGCGGTTTGCGCAAGCACGGAACTTCAGTGGGACAGGGATTCTGGTCAATTTCACGTTGAACCCACCTTGGCACGTGTTCCTTTATTCGGGAAGTCAAAGACCGATTGGTTCTGCCTATGTAACTGTCTCCGCAGTCGCATACGAATTTGTATATGCAGGGTGAGTTGGCCCCTATCGGTTCAGCTGCCTTCGTTGGAGGCACCGGCAAGTTACAGGTCCTATTGATGACCACAACCTGAGCAGCACAGTAACTTCTCTGCGTAGCAGAGATTAAACGTTTCGTGGTTTTCAATACAGTAAAGTCACCTCTTGAATGGCAACTCGATATAGATCTTTTTCTTGGCTGCCGTATGCACCAAGTCTTTCGGGCCTCGCTGTTGGCTGTGTCTCTCTATAAATCTACGTGGATAACCATTTGCAACGAGGGTCGTTGTAATTAACTCTAGCTCGTCGGCTAGACAATCAGCGGAGCAAATTCGTCCAGCACGACTAACTAAAGTTTTCACAAGGGTCCGCTTGTACCACACTGGTGTGAAGCTGGTGAAGTGCATGTATTGGCCGGACCAGGTTG